TGGGCCCAGCGCTGAGCCAGGCCCTTTCCCCACCCACCAGACCTCACAACCGGAATCTGGCCACCATGTCTCAAAAAGGCTTGACCTAAGGCTTCTCCAGGCTGGGGAAGGGGTGCCGCTGGACCCTCGATTCTCAGGAAAGGTAGCTCTCTGGCTGTGCCCATGGACAAGAAACAAAGGACAGAGGTGTCTTTCATCTAACTGCTCGTCTGTGTGTACTACTCCAAAGGCTTAATGTATCAGAGACCTCTGGGACCCGGTCTGCGAGGGCAGAGGGATCCAGGTCCAGACCATAGGAGTGCGGTCCCGTCAGAAGAGACTGGCACAGAGAGTCAGGAGGAGAGGCTTCTAGTCTTGGCATCGAGGCCAGTTACCTATGACACCTTAGGCAAAGGCTTCATTCATCTCTCCACTCCTTCCCCAGATGTCTGTTGGACCCTTACTGTTTTAGCTTGGGTTGCCCCAAACAGAGCCCGAGACAAGGAGTCTCGTGCAAGTAGTGAATTTTCAAAAGGACAGGAGGAAGCACCAGTAAGAAGGGACCGGGTGAGACAGGAAAAAGGAAGGCACTCAGTCGAGGCTCGTGAGCAAACAAGTTCCGCTGCGGATGCCTGGAGCCAGTATGAAATAGGCCACTCCATCATTCCCCCCTGCCCCCCAAGAGGTGAGGAGCTGGAGTATTTATGCACCATTTCCCATCAGCCATTGGTTAGGACCTGTTGCCAGAGGATGTTAACACCCCAGCATGTCTGCCTTATTGTGCAGGTGGTGAAGCAGGCTCTGGAGGCCAGAGGGGGCCCTGGGACCAGGAGAAGCAGATTGGAAGGAATGCTGGAGAGCACCAGGGTGGCAAGGGCCAGGGAAGGAGCCAGGGCACTGACAACGTCCACTGCTCTGGGCAAAGCATCGTAAGGGCTACAAAGAGGGGTAGGATGCTGTCCCTGCCCTTGAGAGGCTAAAGCTGCTCTGGGTTTCCTTCCAGTGAATCAAGAGACTGCGCTCTGCCCTTCCCACGCAAGGGCTGCTATGAGATGGATGCATCCGTTAGAGCCGTGGAGAAGAAACACTGAAAGCCCATTGCAAATGTCAGATAACAGTAGGGGGAGCAGACCCCCGCTTCCAGCACTGTGCTCTCTACTTGACCAGAGACCAGCTGATCAGAGCAAGTCTGTATCTACCCTGCGCCAAGACTGGGGTCGCCATGACTCTCGGTCGAGTTTCAACTCCTCTTAAGCATTTCACGTGCCAAGTCCAAACTTACTCGATAGAGAAGCCGTGAGTTCTGAGGTCGGAGAGAGCTGGAAAGGAAATCTCACGTCTATAAACCCCAAAATTCCTCCAAAGTGTCCACAGAGTCAAGCTTCTTCTCTGCAACTAGAATAACGTGGGCCTCTTCCTATGCCAGACGGTTGCGTGCATCTCCTACACACACACACACGCACACACACACGTGCATGCACGCACACATGCATGCACACACATACACACACTGGGGACCAACTTCTAAAAAAAAAGAAGAGACTATTCTTCTTTTTTTTTTTTTTTAAGAAGAGACAATTCCTACTGAGCAATCTCCCCCCACCCCCTCCCCCTTGACAGAGGATGCTGATAAGGAAAAGAGTTGCCTCCCCAAGGTCATCTAGTCTCTGACACTTAGAATGGCCCTGGACATCCTCCCAAGCACACTGCCCTAACACCTTGGGTATTCCTGTCCTGGTATCCTGAAAAAGCCACCCTGGGCTTTTCAGTGTTCTTGAGGATCAGAAACCCGACAGTTTCTACACTGTTTGTAATTTCTATAATTATTTCCTTTTTTTAACCTTAGCATTTAGACAAGCTCCTTTTGAAAATGTCAATCTGTCTTAGCTATAGTAAGGGAAAGGAGGTTTTGTCTGGGCTGGGCCCATCTTAAAAAGGAGCAGTATACCTGGGGGAGGGGGGAAGTCCAGGGAGGAGGGCTCCAGGTGAGGAAGCCAAGGTGTGGGGGAGCTCTCAGCAGCCCCTTCCCTGCTGCATGCCCTCTTTCCAAAACTCTTGTCTGCTCAGACTTGACAGGTGTGGGGTCTGTCCCTCAAATGCTGGGTTCATTGCCCACCCTCAGGGCCCTTCCCTCAGTCTTATCTTCCTAGGAAGTGCTCACAATCAGAGATTCCCCCACCCCACCCCACCAGAAATGTTCCAGAATCTCATCCATCCCCAGAGATTTCCAGCTTCCGAAGGTCATCTCAGGCTAAATGAGGTACTCCAATCCATGAAGACACTTCAGGAGAGTTCATGATTTCTTATGGGGGTGGGGGGCCAGGGGCGGGGAATCAGGTAACCATTTCCACTGTGGCCCCAGGCCTCCAGGTAATATCTGTGTATTGTAATAACAGTCTTCCTAAAGCCATGGAGGAGTGATGGGATTGTCGTGAAGTTGTAGAAAAAGCATAGGATGGCACTATGGGTCAAAAGACAGGAGATCTTGAGCTAGTGGGTCTCAAAGGTCAAAGGGTCTAAGGCTCCTTCCTCCTGGAATATTCTGGAATTCTCCCACTCACTACTTTGTGGCTCCAGACAAGCAGTTTGAGCCCTTTGGAGAGTCAGTGTTTTCACCCTTTGAGTCTGGTTTCCTAAGACCCCTATCACATATTGTTCATATGGTAGAAATTTTAGCACACACACACCGCCCCCCCAGGACAGACCAATGAGGGAAGGTTTATGGCCAAAGGAAGTCTAGCCAATCCTCAACCTAGCTTGAATAAATCCCAGCCACACTGACCACAGGCTCTGCGGGGGAGGCTCCTCTACGGCCTGGTCCTTCCTTGGAGCCTTCCTTCCCTATTCATCCTTCCAAGGACCAGCACCTGTCCGCGACAAGCTCCAGAGAGACCCTAAGAACTCTAAAGCCATCCATGCTCTCTGCTCCCGGCTCCCCCAGCAGCCGCCTCAGCTGAGCTCAAGAGCAGCCCTGCCAGGGAAGGCGGGCAGGAAGGGCCGCTGGCTTTACTCATGAACCCACGGGTGTGCATATGTCTTTGCCAAGCTGGCCCCAGTTGATGAGAAAAGACTCCCCGGAGTGAAAGGGAGGGGAAGGAGAGCCTTTCCACCCTGATCAAGGCTACAGATCAGACTTTCCACCCTGCGCTGCACAAACTCCCTGACCTTCTGGGCCCCAGCAACCACCCCCCAACCTCAGGCCTCCCTGCACTCACTCAGAAGAGAGAGGCCTGTTTATCACGCTGGGTGGGACCCAAGACTGTGGGGAATTGAAAAGAAACAGCCCGCTTAGGTTGCTATTGTTTTGTTTAAACAAACCGCTGGCTGGGCTGACTTGGAGAGGAGTGAGGGGGAGGCTGGGAGCGCACAGCAGGCTGGGCTGGCCGCCCTGGGCTTAGCCCCCGTCTCTAATCGCGCTAGAGCCGCCAGAGAGCCAGACAGCTGTTTCAGGAGAGTGGCTGCTAGGGCTTGGGCCCTCACATCGTCTCCTGAGAGAGATGGCTATCAAGGAGAGGAGCCTCTGTTCCCCAACCCCTTTCCCCTACCCTGGTGCCCCCTGGCTTCTCAGCCTCTGGCCACAGCTGGGCCCCATGCCAACCCTAGGTAAGACAGGGCCTGACACTGGGGGAGTGGGGGCCCGTGCTGAAAGCGGGCCAAAGCAGAGCTGCCACGAGCCCTGCTGTCCCAGGGACTGAATCCGAAGGCTGCCCGGATGCTTCTGAGCAGACAAGACTGCATGAGGGGGGCTGGAAGGGTGCCAGAGGACAGAGATCTCATCTGCTTGGGCTGAGGACAACCAGGTGGGAAGGGGGCCCAAGGTGGAGGGGCCCGTTCTGCAGTCTGCCCTCCCCTTCTCCCAACCAGAGGTAACCTAGACAGACAGGGACGAGCCTGGGGGAGGGGATGTTCTAGCCAGGAGGCCCAAAGTAAGAACAGTTGGTAGACAAGCTACAGCCTAAAAGGGAAGAGATGCGGAGGGGGGGACTTCAAGAAGAGGGGGGTGGGGCTTGAATTTTGTAGAAGGTAAACCGCACTAGGAGTTGGGTCACCCAGCTGACCCTGAGAGTCTCTGCAGAGAAATGAGAGGAAATCGCACGGTTCCCCCTCCCAAAGCCTCATCCTGAGCGCCTCTGCCAGGGGAAGGAGAAGAGGCTGTACCGGGAGGGCTTGGTAGAAAGGTGGCCAGGGCACAGTTAGGTGTTGGCAGAACCCATGAAGAGCCATGCTAATCACCATCATTAAGGCCATAAAACCCCACACCTAGGGGCCCCCGAGCTGTGGCACGGACCCAGGGGCCCGGCTCCAGTCCCTTTCATCTGAGCATCTCCCAGTCCTGCACAAACAATAATTAGCACCCGCCCCCGGGATCGCCTCATTATCCCACAGACGCGGAGCAGAGGAGAGAAGGGAGGGGAAGCAAGAAGAGGGAAACTGAGGCCAAACAATCTGCCCAGAGGTTGTGGGCTGAGTCCATTCAAGGCTGGGGAAAAAGCTGCCTCAGAATCAGTGGTCCAGCCTCCTCCTGCCCTGCCTGCCCTTCTGGTTACTCAGGCAGCCATTGGCCTAATGTTCTGAAGGCCCCAAAGAGAGCCCCAGAGGATGGGTTGGCTTAGCAAAGCTGTGAGGATTGTCAGCCCCTGCCTTAGATCTGACCAGACCCCACAGGCAGAGACTTGTGTCCCATGCCCAGTCTAGGGGCGCAGATGATGGGAGTGGAGCCGCCCTTCCATAAATGTCCCCTCGCTCTTTCCAGTAGTCGGGGGGTCCACCTCTCACCCCCGGGCTACCGTCAGCAATGCCTGTGTCTGTCCTCTCTCCCTGGACCCCCTAAGGCACCATTCAAAACCCCAGAGCCTGTTCTGGCCACCTGTCCCCGAAGCAGACATACCCGTTCCTACTCTTCTATCTTACTCCCTCAGGGGGAGAAAGAAGTCAGCAAAACCCACTTGGACTGAAGTGTGGTGGTGTGGACTTCTGCTGCCCCAGGAGTAACCCACCCCTGTGCCTGTCTCTCATTGCAGGGCGCTGATATAAAGAAAGGGAAGGTCCAGGGCCAGGAGTTGTCACGTGAGTACGACCCTCCCACACCCCTCGCCCCAGCCAGGGCAACGACATGACCACAAGAACCGTAACAATGCAACTTAATGTTGAGACTTAGTGGTGTGAAAGTGCCCACCGACCCAGGAGTTCACTCTTCCTCGATAATTTAATTTAATCGTCACAATGGCCTTTGGTGGCCGCTGCCGCCAATATCTCCATTTGAAAGAGAATGAAAGCCAGGTGTGACCCACGTGTCCCTCAGCTCCCCAGGAGTAAGGGGTGGGGCCAGCATTAAATGCAGGGGTCTGCTCTCCTGGAGGGACTGGCACGGTCATTCCCTTCCCTCCGCCTGCCTCCGCGTGTTCCCCTGCACCCGGTGCCACCATGTGCTTGCATGGGTCCCTTTTCTCTGATGTCCTCCCCTTCCCACCCCTTTCACCCCCAGCTCCACTCCTCCCCTCCCCCTCAGACCCCCCTGCAAGAGCATGCCCTCCACGCAACTTGAAGGGAATGCTCAGGTGGAATGCTCAGGTGAGGATCCGGCCTCCGAAGAGGGCTGAGCAAAAAGACAAATGAGCCTCATGGTTCCATGACGCAACGTGGGGTCAGACATCAGATAGGCCTGGATTCAAATCCCAGCTTCACCACTTCCTGTCGGCCTGACTTCACCTCTCAGAGCCTCATTTCGTCATCCAGAAAATGGGGATAACACTCATCTGACCAGGTTGTGGTGAGGATTAAGGAGATGTCACAAGGGAAAGCACGTAGCCAGGGCCTGGCACCAAGAAGTGGCTCCACATGTGTGTATCCCTTCCCTTCCACCTCGCGACCCCTCGTCTCTACATTTGGAGGGGGAATTCTTCAGGAAAGCCCTAGAGAGAGGGGTCAGGCCTCCATCTCCCATGAGGATAAACCCCCAGCTGCGTAGAACCGGTGAGTTCCAACTGCAGCCTTCTGCAGACGCAGTCACGGACACCAGCTCTTTGGCGGTGTGCAACGTGCCCCCCTCAACTGTACTTGGCAGCCCACGCACCCACCAGCCTTGCCAAAAGCTGACCCGGCCGTCTCTGCCCTCCACACGCCATGCACGTGAAGACACACTCCAGCACCCACCCATGCTCAGAAGTCTTCCTCAGCGTTGGCAGTGTTTGTGAAGAAAACAATGACTTACCCACATTTGCACACACACTGACAGAGCCCCTGCAAAACAGCCCTGGCGAACGCGCTCACCAGCGCTTCCGACACCTGCACCTGCACCAGTGTGGACCCCAAGTCATACAGACTCACATGGCTCCCGGCATACCCTGTGCAGTGCTCACCCTGAACGCAGGCGCGTGTGCACGCATGCGCACACACACACACACACAGATACCAGATCTGCAATCAAAAAGTCAGGGAGATGAATAGTCAGGAATTCCCCTGGCTGTGAGCATGCTGGAGGCCCCAGTGGCCGGAAGTACACCATGAGGAACATTTCCAACAGCTCCAAATAGCGGATGGCTCTTGTCTAATGACCAGGAGAGGGAGGGGGCCGTAAAGTACCAACACTCCCTCCCACCAGCATCCTCACTGCAAACACTCCATCCCCACCCACCCCCAGGAAGATTCCTGGCTCTTTAGAAGGTGGGGGAAAGGAGGAGAGCAATGGGGAGGGGGCAGAGGCACAGAGTTTGGAAGGAGGCCCAACTGGAACCAACCGCAAAAGTCTGGCCCACAAAACCCCTGCATAGACTTGGGGAAAGAATGAGAGATGTCGCCACCCGAGCTCCCCCCTGCCCCAGAAAAAGATCTGCCTCCTGCACAGAGGGCAAAAGGGAGGGAGATGGGCCTTCTCCTCCGGAAGAGCCCGAGTGGGCTCCCGGTGCCCGGAGCACCCAGATCCATCACTTCCATGATCAAACCTTTGAACCGAGTCCCACCCACCCCCGTAACCACTTCCAGATCCTCCGGATCCAGCCAAAAAATTGGCTTCTTTGGGAATTGAGTTCATAAGGAAATGCTGAAAAAATAAATAAAAATCCACTGCCAAACACTCTCAGAGAGGAAGATGAGTTTCTCTTGAGTCAGGAAATCCATCAGGATAGACTAAAGCAGCAAAGGGATAACACCAATACCCGCTGGCCAAGAGAGGCCCCGGGAGTCCCACCGGCACCCACGACCCTCAAGCATCCCACACCTCCTCCTCCCCGCACTGCCCAAACGAAGGTGCTTCCTAAAGGCAGCTGCCGAAGCTGAGATCCTGCCAAAGATAAATCCTAATGGTTTGCGATGGGTAAGCCCCCAGCTGGGACCCCGGGGTGGGGGGTGGACCATGAATGGCACAAAGAATTCTCTTTTCCTCTGGCCCAGGGTAGCCAGGAAGTTGTGGGTACTGTGGGTTGGGGGCCCACACTCTGTCCCTCTTCTGCCCCCAGCCTACCAGCCTCCGTCCCCACCAGCAAAAAGTGGCTTTCACCGCTACCAGTTCTTCGTCTATCTTCAGGAAAGACAGAACATCTCTCTCCATTCCAAAGAAAACAAAACTCGAGGTAAGGCCTTCCCATCTGCCAAAGCCAGTGTGAATTCTGGGGCGGAAGTGGATGCTTGTGCATTCATGGCGAGGTTGGGACCTTGACCCCTACCCGTGAGCCTTGGAGGCCAGAGTCAGAGGGTGGCCTTTCTTGGCAGTAGACTGAAATGAGGTGTCCTAAGGGAGATGTTGGCATCAGATGTGGTCTCCCCCCAAGAAGTAAGTCCCACAGACCAAGATGGTGGCTCTCACTGGGTGGGTGGGTCTGTGAGGCCGGGTCCCAAAGGGAGTAACTGGAGCCAGGGAGAGAAGCATTTCCGCAACTCAGCTTCGGATGGCATGTGCAGGCAGCTACCCCACAGCACTCCTGCACGTAATTGTACCCTATAATTGAGTCCAATCTGGGCAAGAGGGCCCTGGAATGCCACCCCGCCAGTCTGTCTTCATTGGTTGTTAATTGCTCTGTCTGCCCAGTTCTACCTCAGTGGTGGGGCAAAAACTTCCCCGCCATGCCCCTTCCACGAGCTTCTCTGAGCAGCCATTCTGGCATCCTGGAGAGGATCCACTCCCTGTAGCTTGCTAATGGCTACCTGATGGTGGCCTTGGTCCCGCTCCCACCAGAGCTGGGGAGTGGGAAGACCCATGGACATCTGGCCACTGCAAGGCCTCAGGCGACTCACCTGCTCCTATGTGAGCCATGGCCCCCTCTCTGAGCCTTGGCTTTCTCTCCAGAAAAATGGGAAATAAAGTAACCCCTGTGTACTCTAGCATCTCCCCCATTTGGGGCAAGGGAAGATAATGTGGAACCCACAGATGCCATCTTGAGAGTGCAGACAGCACATCCCCTGGGCTGGCAGGAGGCTGAGTGGGTGGGTAGGTGTCATCAGCCGTTTGCTCTCACCCAGTGACCCTGACCAACTTCCACCCACTGGGAAGCCGGGAAAGGTATTGTTACAAGCCTGTTGCCCGAGGCCCCAGAGGAGAGGAACGCGGAGCCCGGAAAGGCACTGGCTGAGCGAAGGAGGCCTTCAGGTGTGCCGAGCAGAAGCCACCAATGGCAGAAGGCTCTGGGCCTCCGTGCAAGCGGAGTTGGTGCAACCTTTCCACTGGTGAACCCTCCCCAGATGCCCTCAGCACCTTGCCAATCTGTACATCTGTTTAAACCGCTTTCCCAAAGACACACTTTCAAATCTGGGTACAAGGAGAGAAGGCAGAGAAACATGTATCTTGCCTGAGCCAAGATGAATTTCTCCAGTTCCCTGGCTCCCTCTCACCTCAGACATCCTGAGCCCCCTTCCACCAGTCCAGGCACTGCGCTTTCTGGGGGCTGGGGACTAGCGCCTCAGCCCACCACGTTCCCCCCACAAAGTAAGGCGGCTCCTCGGAGTCCCACGTTAGTCCCATAGTCACAGAGCCCACACCCTGGGCAGGGAGGGAGGCGGGGATCGTGCTCAGACTGTCCCCTGCAAGAGCCTCCCGCAGGATCAAGTGCCTTCTGAGGGGCGGGGTGGCCGGGAAAGGAGAGAGCAGGAGGTGAAGCCCGGAGGAGCATGAAAGGGGCGAAGGAAGAAGGGAGGTGCATGCGGCAGAAACACTTGCCCCTGCCTTGGCTGCAGTCCTCGTGTTTGGTCCTAGCCCGCCCTCCAGAAAACACAGTGGCTTGTGTGCCCCAGCAGGCGCGGAGGCTCAAAACCCATCCAGCCTGACAGCCATTGTCAGTCACTTTGAATCTCTGCCCAAGCCAGCTTGTTGTGCATCCCCCCAACACACACACACATACACACACCTCTCATCCACGTGAAAACTTAGGAACAGGACTTGCTTCTGGGCAGAGCCCCTCGACTTCCATGCCATTTTGCTTGCTGCCAGAAATGGAGGTGGGAAAATGATCTTCCCAGAGGAGCTCTCCAGCCCAGGGGGCCAGGGGGCTGGTCCCACCATATGACACCTTCTGGTGCCTGGCACTCCTAGCTAGGGGCTTAGGAGAGGAGCCGATCCCACAGCACAGGGAATGTTTCCTGCCCTCAGGGGGCTTATAGTCTACTTTGAAAACACTTAAGTAACAATGCAAAGCAGCCTGTAATTAAGCACTTAATTGTGTGTTTCTGGCTGTAAGGACAACTGGTGATCAAGTGGATTTAGGGATTGTGTGTACAGTTCCTAGGATTCCCTTACCTCCAAGAAGACACACCTTCTCTAGCCAGGAAGATTGCAAAGGTATTTTACTGCAGGGTGAGGATATCTGTATTTCCAGTCTCCAGCTAGTGATTTGATGTTTGGACAAATCAGCTACCCTCTCTGAGCCTCAGTTTCCCCATCTAGAAAATGAGGGGTTGGATCTAGATGATCTACAAGTCTGTATGGCCCTGAGGCTACGTGGAAGAGGTGTGGCCTGGGCTGGGCCCAGGAGAAGGAGGACATTTGAATCCTTGAGTGAAAGAGAGAGGAAACTCCGGACTGGAGAAACCACAGACGCCAAGATTATTTTTTTAAAAGTGGGAAGGAGCACCCCTTGTGAGGAGCGGTGAGGGCATGAAAGGAGAAAGGGGGAAGGTCGCTGAAGGTTCGTGAAAGCCCAGCAGAGGCACAACCTTGGCAGGCGCCATGAAGCACCGTTAGACCCTGCCCACGGGAGAGGCAACACACCGAAGCCGCTCTTTAGAGATGACTAAGCTGGCGCGGTGGGCAGGACTGGGAGGAGTAAGAGCCCAGGGGCCGCCCGAGGGGTAGAGACGTGTGCCTGGGTGGCGCCGGGGGGGCCATGGCAAAATCAGGAGCTGCCCTTGCGCGTTGTCAGAGCTCCTGGCGCTCTCTGAAGCACCTGCACCGTGCGTGGGGACCCATGGAGCCCCCAGCTGCCCAGCCCTCGGGAGGCCGGGACCTGGAGCCAAGGAACACAGGCCCGAGGGCTTACTTTGGTCTAGTGTTTGTCCCATGGGAAGGTATCCTTGGAGAGGCAGTGGAGTCCTAGGGTATGCATGGTACAACCAGCCCCTTGTGTTTCCTGGATGCGCAGGCAGGAACGGATTCCAGAGACTGGAGGGGAAAGTCACTATCAAGAGCCAGGTAGAGAGGCAGCCATGAAGGATAGTTGACTTGAGCCGTTCCTATTGGGTCCTTCCCTCCCTAGGACTTAGGTGTGAATGACAGTTTAGGATGAGAAGCAAGTGTGACATTATTCTAGTTGAACTTGTAAGACCATGGGGGCCAGGGAACACTGCTCAGTGTGGGGAGCTGAAACCCTCTCCAGATGGGAGATCTTGATATATCCATTGTGTGACCTTGGACCAGCCACCTCACATCTCTGGGCCTCAGTTTCTACATCACCAAGATAACGGGTTGGACTAGGTGGTCTACCACGGAATGACCCTTTACAGATTTGCTCCCAGCTCACGGAGTTGCCCCCACCTCCGAGTTCTGTGAGACGAGTGTAGGGAGCAAAAGTGATCCGACTTGACTAGCGCAGCCAGTTCCACTCGCTTCGGGGGGAGGCCCTCCGTCAGATGCCAGTCTGCCAGGACCACAGCGAGGGCCCTAGAAGGGGAGCCGCCTTGCTTCTAGCTGATGAAATCTGCCTTCCCCACCGCTCCCGCCTTTACACGGCTCCTTCCCCCCCTGCCATTTTCCCCACTTGCTGGGCATGATTCACAAATGCCCTCTGCGTTCGTTGGGATGATGCCGAGTATGTGTGAGGCAGGGCTCTAGGTGCTGCGGGCACAGAAGTGAGCCACGTGGACCCGGTCCCTGCTCCCGTGGATGGATGCTGTCACCCGGTGTAGCTCTGTGGATCATGGGAGCTCACAGAGCGAGTGGAGGGAGATATTCAAATAGCTCAAGCTGACCACATCCTACACAGGGAACAACGGTGAAGCTGGAAGAGCCCGCACTAGTGCCCTCTGACCAGGGCTGGCCCGGTTTCACTGACATTTGTCCCAAAGGCCACACCTCACCTTCCCAAATGTGGGCCTGCAACACAGTGGACTTGCACCTCTGCCTCCAACCCCTCTCCCCCAGCTCTAATACCTCCCCCCTCCCCCCACCTTCTATGCCCAAGGCCCAGAATCTGGCCTCCGGGCTCATCTGTGATTCACAATGGTTCACCCCTGCATCTTCCTCACAGCAGCCTTGGATTCGGCATCTAGACTTCTACATTGTAGAGGAACCGACTGAATGGGTTGAGGGGACGTGTCTGAAGAGGGCCCGCACACACAGGGCTGGCTCCCACCTCACCCCGTGCACCCTTCCATACCACGTGCTGCCAGACATCCGCTAACTCCCGCTGACCTAGTTCACGTCACTGCCCCCCACGCTCCCCCAGCGACTGACTTGCCTCTGCCTGCTGACTGGGCGACCATTTCTCCCCCTCCCCAAGCCCGAGGGCCCTGCCCACCTGCAGAACACCAGTCCTGCTGACGGCCCCGGGACGCTTCCCCACAGGGCGGTGTCTTCTCTGCCTGCACTTGACCCAGCCCTCCCCTGCTGCTGTCCCTCTCCATGCACTCAGTGACACTTTGTTGTGCCTCCTCAGTCACCCACTTTTATCCCTTTGTATTAGCCAATCATTTTTCACTCGCACGGGCCCTACTTCCACCGTGAGACTCAATTCCTTGAGGGAGAAGCTCACCTGTGCCGTGGATTTCCTCTTTACCACCTGTCCTTGTGCTCAGCCCACTGTGAGCTTTCAGTCAATGAGGATGTTTGTGTATGGGACACACCCACGTATGCACATTCACAAGCCACACACACACACAGCTGCACATTCTCACACCCCCATATTCAACTCATCATCAACTTCCTTTAACACCTGAAAAGACAGCCACCTCTGTGAGTGCCGTGCCCACAAATGACAATTTTGGCATCCATATCCTCCCTGTCCCAACGCCGAGGGCAGGGAGGGAGGCGGGGATCGTGCGGCCGGGCAGGACCACTTGCATCCAGCCTCTCTACCAGCCTGCCCTGCCTCTCCCTGGCCTTCCCCTCACCCAGCTGCTGGACCCTGTGGAGCGGGCAGGACCACAG